TAAGCTAGAAGATGACTGCCACTGTGGCTGGACAGAAGACTGCTGCTGAATGCATGCTGGCTGGTGCTGTGCTAGGTTTCATTGCAGGGGAAAGGTTTGACTGCTGTCTAATGCCTGAAGCACTTGAGGCTGCTCTAAAGGCTGTATTACATATTGTTCCATTGCCGCTAGTTGCAACTGTTCTTGCAAAGGAGGTGTAATCTGGACCATGTTTGTAATGGCCTTTGGAATACCTGTAATGGCTGAATGTGGTTAGTTGCCTGTGAATGAGGTACCTGCTGCTGGAAAGCAGCATGTTGGCTATATAAAGACTGCTGTTGATTTATGGGACCTTCTTGAGTAGACAACTGATGGGTTTTCTGAGCTTGCCTATGAGATGAATGAGTCATCTGCTGATGATGAATGAAAGCTGAGTGAGAAACCTGGCTTGGTGTTACATGTGATTGGGAAAGCTGTGCAGAGAAGTGTGGGGGCTGGATCTGGGCCTCTGAGGAGGCCTGCTGAATGAAGGACATTTGTGCAGGGTGTTGAAGCTGTCCTTCCACAGCCATCTGAGATGTAACGCTGACTGGGCTTTTAGCTGCTGGTACCCAAAACTGACATCTGCTTAGGATAGAAATGCTGAATTCTGCACATTAAATAAAGGCTCAATAGAATGTGTTTGTGTATCTAAGGTTAATGATAAATAATGTTAAATGTCTTATGTCTTTTGTTCCAAGGCTGAAGAACCTTGGGGTTGTGTTAAATAGGCTTGTTGCTCAGAAGTCTGTGCTACATAAAGTGGTAATAAGTATAAGCCCTGATCTGCTGAGTTTGTAATATGTACTTGCTTGCTATCAGAAGGGTTTACTGTGTATACTTGCTGGGTTATGAAGGCTGCCTGTTCAGTTGTCTGGATATAAACAGTGTGTCCTGAATAAGGGACATACTCAAGTGCCTGGTAGCAGGCTGTTCCACAGGTTGCACAGGGTAAGCTGCTTGGATTATACATCCTGGCTGGTCTGGAAAAGGTGACCGAACCAGAGATTGCACTGTATAAACAGGCTGCCCCTAGGCCGGGACCAAATAAGAGGGCTGTGCCACAGGTGGGACTGGATAAGAAGAAGCATGTATAGAATAGGTTGGCTGTGATATCAGTGGTTGTACAGTGTAAAGAGGATGCTCTGGGGCTGGCAGTGAATAAACAGTCTGTGTTGGAGCCTTCATTGGGTAAGTGGCTGTGATGGGTAAGAAGCTTATTCCTGGGGAAGTATCACAAAGGGCAGCTACTCAGGAGCCTTCAATGGGAAAGATGGCAGTTCTGCAGGTGGTCCTGAATAAGTGTGTTGAACAGAATAAAATGGCTGTTCCAGGGACTGAATCACACTTTCAGTACTACCCTTTGACTGCTGCTGACTTACATGAGTTTCAGATTTTCATAGTACAATCCTGCTGAACATTTTTCTGTGGTGATGCCATAATCTTAGGTTGTAACATTAATGGCTACTGCTGAATAGAGGCTTGGAAACAAGGTTTCTTCAAACGCACAGTCTGGCTTTGTGGCACTGAAGAACCGGGAATTATAGACTCCTGATGTATCACTGAGTATGGCTGGGATACTGAATGTATCTTTTGTGAGAAGGGTGATGGGCTCCCGAATGCCCCCCAATGGAATTAGAAGGGAGCTGAGCTGTACCAGCAGCATTCTGTGCACTGCTCACACGTTGGGCAAAAGAATGATTCAACAAAGCTTGAGGGTGATTAACTGACAAGAAACTAGGAATTTGATTGGCATTTGGTAATTTGGTTAATGCCTGATTCCCATTTCTAGGGTCAGGCTCAAGTTGAAGACCAACTGTTGGATCCTGGGAAGTCATTTGTGAAGCAAGCAATATCTGAGGAGAAACTACAGAAAAGACTGGTTGTGGAACTCCAGTAACTGACAAGTCTAAAGTCCTAGGTTGAGCTGAAATTTGTCCATCTGCTCCAAAGGTCAGCTATAGTTCCTAATGCTGGTGCAAGGAAAATTCAAATTATAAATGCATATACCATGGGAATTCCCTGGCGTCCACTGGTTAGGGCTTGGTGCTCTCGCTGCCAGGGGCCCAGGTTCAATCCCAGGTTGGGGAACTAAGATCCTGCAAGCTGCACAGTGAAGCCAAAAAAAATTTTTTTTATTAAAAAATAAAATAAATGCATATACCATGCTCATTTTAATGGTCCCAGACAGAATGATAGATAAAATAATGCTATGTTGTAAAAATTTCAGGGACTTCCCTGGTGGTGCAGTGGTTAAGAATCCACCTGCCAATGCAGGGGACACGGGTTCAATCCCTGGTCCGGGAAGATCCCACATGCCGTGGAGCAACTAAGCCCGTGTGCCACAACTACTGAGCCTGTGCTCTAGAGCCCACGCACCACAACTACTGAAGCCCACATGCCCGGAGCCCATGCTCCACAACAAGAGAAGCCACCTTATTGAGAAGCCCACGCACAATAACAAAGAGTAGCCCCCGTTCACCACAACTAGTGAAAGCCTGTGCACAGCAATGAAGACCCAAAGCAGCCAAAAAAAAATTTAAAAAAAATTTCAGAAGGTTATCAAAAAGGTGCTGGGTATAGCATTAGTCCTATAAAAATCCTAATACCATGAGTAAATGCTAATTGAATACACTAAGGGACTGAGACCAGTCCCCAGGCAACATATTGCTCATGGCTTCTCATTTATTGCACTTGCCACATAACTCATTCAAACCCTGGCAGAAATTCAGAGTAATTGAATCTGACACCTTCACACACCAGACAGTGGAAGTTCAAAAGGATTTCAATATCATAGTTAAAGGGAACAGAGAAGCTCTCTCAAGAGGAGAGGAGTGAGTTGGCTGAATACATATAGGCTGGCTGTAATAATTCCTAGAACTTGAACCACCACATTCATAAAAAGACCCCCACTGGTTAAAGTGCTTGCTTATGTGGATTCTATATATTAGGTGAAAAAGGCAGGCTATAAAATAGTATGTATGTGATATACATATGTATGTATAAACAAAGTTATATATGTATACATAGAAAAAAAAGACAAATCTAGAGTCTCTACCACCAAATGTAAACAATAATTTATTTCTAGCTGGAGAGATAGTAGGTGATTTTCACTGTCTTCTTTATAACTTTATAGGCTTTATTTTAAATAGGTAAATAACACTTTCATAAAGTTTTTAAACTTCTTTTAAAAATTTTGGAAACACATTTCAAAATACACATACCTGTATATTTACATGGTTGAACCTAAGTTAATTTAAGCATCCATCCAACACACTTCGCATTATAGTCTTAAAAAGAGATAAATCCAACCACGACATAAGCTCAAGTATGAACATATACCGTATAAGCTACAAATACTAGCCAAACACCATGCACTGTCAACCATATCAGATTAAATATACCCCCAGCAGACTTTAAATGCATCTGGCATTTGTCAAGTACATGTATGTTTTCCCCTACAAGTCTGTGAGTTCTTCAGGGCAAGGACCATATTTTATCTCATTTTATATCCCCAGAGATGATAGTCATTAAAAGTTTGTTGATGAACTATGACTATATACCAGTCTCTTAAAAGCAACAGATCACCAGCTGCTAACTAAATCACATACAGAGAATGCCTAGGAGCTCAGACCAACTCATTCCCAAAGAGAGAAGAGACACACAGGGGATGGCAGGGTTGAGGAAAGAAAATGGGATAACAAAGAAAAGCCCAACCATGTATCCAGAGTCCATCACCTAGGAAACCAGGATATAGTCTTGATATATGAACTCTCACAAAGACTGTGTACTCGTTGTCAGAAATGAGTACCATTGACTTTGAGAGTCTAAATGACAAAAACACTTATTTCTCCTACAGAAATAAACATGAACCAAAAGAGTCAAGAATTTAGATGAAAGTGCTTAAAATTATAAGAGTCTATGAAATACTATTTCTACTTAACTACCAAAGACATCCCTCTACATTCAAACCAGGCTGGAAAAGTCCAATACAAAAAACAAACCATAAAAAGGGATCTGAGTCCTAAATAATTTTTTTTTAAATTTATTTATTTATGTTTGGCTGTGCCGGGTCTTTGTTGCTGCGCGCGGGCTTTTCTCTAGTTGCGGTGAGTGGGGGCTACTCTTCGTTGCGACGCACGGGCTTCTCAGTGCAGTGGCTTCTCTTGTTGCAGAGCACGGGCTCTAGGTGCACGGGTGCGTGGGCTCTAGAGCACAGGCTCAGTAGTTGTGGCGCATGGGCTTAGGTGCTCCGCAGCATGTGGGATCTTCCCAGACCAGGGCTCTAACCCGTGTCTCCTGCATTGGCAGGCGGATTATTTTTTTTCTTTTTTTTTAAATTTACTTTATCTTTGGCTGCATTGGGTCTTTGTTGCTGCGTGCAGGCTTTTCTCTAGCTGCGGCAAGCGGGGGCTACTCTTCGTTGCGGTATACGGGCTTCTCAGTGCAGTGGCTTCTCTTGTTGTGAAGCACAGGCTCCAGGCGCATGGGCTTCAGTAGCTGTGGTGCTCAGGTTCAGTAGTTGTGGCTCGCGGGCTCTAGAGCACAGGCTCAGTAGTTGTGGTGCATGGGCTTAGTTGCTCCACGGCATGTGGGATCTTCCTGGACCAGGGCTTGAACCTGTGTTCCCTGCATTGGCAGGAGGATTCTTAACCACTGTGCCACCAGGGAAGCCCTGGCAGGTGGATTCTTAACCACTGCACCACCAGGGAAGTCCCCTAAATAAACTTTTTTATCCGTATATGGAGTTCTCAGTTTCTCTTCCAATTATACAAGCAGTGTCTCAAGATTCTAGTTACACAATGTTAGACACATCCTCAAGAAGAATGTCTTAAGTGAAGGAAAGTATAAACAACTTTTTGCTTTCAGTGACTTTTATATAAACTAGGATGAATTTATGAAAGAGAGCCTTTGCCTGTCAGAAAACCTAGGCAGTGTTAAATAAGTTTAACTGAATACGGAGCCTCTAAAATGTATCTTACCTTTACCTGTGAGACCTTTGGGACACTTAACGGCAAAAACTGGAGTTGTGAGACAAGCGGAGGTCCAAGGACATGTACAGGCAGAACAGTGGACTGACCTTGAAGCAAAGGCAAAATTTGGGGCTGAGTCAGCTTTGGCTGCTTCTGCAACTGTTAAAAAAAAAATTAAAGATAAACTCTCCCATTTACAGTAAATATACTGATTATATATTTAAAATATATTTAACACTTCACCTCACCCCTGAAATCTGCTGGTAATGTCCCACTAGCTGCTGGGATGGATAAATTTTCCCTGGAACATTTATTTCAGCCTGTGGGTTGTTAGAAACCATTTGAGAGCCCATTATCTGGTCTGAGGAGTAGGCTATACTGGGCTGATTTGAAGTTTCTGAATGTATAACTGATCCAGCTCCTGCCTCAGACAAACTGTCACCTATGGCAAAGAAAACAAGTGATAGGTAGAAGGGAAAAACTTGAAACACAAGGTCCAAATAGCACAGGAAATGGTAAGTGTTTCTTTCATTTTTTTCTTTTTTACTCTGACAACCTTAAACAGCTTCAAATAAAATATGTACACTGCAGAATTAATAAAAAACCATCATGTAAACTCTCCATGTTGATACTGTGGTATAACTAAAATATTCTTAGTAAAGCAAAACTACAAACAAAGAATCACATAAAAGTCAACTCGATTTGCTGGCCATTTCATGCATATCCTAACTAATCTTTGTTTGCCATTAGGATTTCAGTAAAATCTAGGTAGCATATTCTCATTCTCCTAGAATCTGGCTAGAAAATAATACTGCCTTTATGGAACAACTGGTTATTACTACGAAAATACTGTGTCCTTCTAGAGAAGAGAATGCATTACAGCAGAAATATTAGAGAAACTGTGTTAATTTTATACTTGGGTCTAAAATACAAAAGTTCTTAAAGTCTAGAAAATTCCCTCTTGAAGAATAAATTCTATCTTTAGTTGCATATCTTCTTTACTAAAGGATTTACCGTGAGACCCTTAAAAATGGTAAAAAGGTTATAATCCTTATTCAACTAGTACCTTGGACAAGTCACTTAACAGAACAGTTTCTTAATTGTAAAATAAGGAAACTATCTGCCTTGCCTATTTCAGGGATTTTGTAAAAGGATTAATGAAATGATAGATAACAAAATGCTTTGAAACATACAAAAGTACTATTTAAAGATAAGGGAATACAATTACACATTTCCTTTTATAAATTATAACTGTGTTACTTGTAACAGAGGAGCAATGCCATTGTGGTTTTCTTTGCAGAAGCTGTTGTCGCACATGTTGATCAACTTCAGTTTCTTCACATTCAGCCCCGCTGTGCTGAGCAGAAGGAGGGGGCAAAGCTGTATTTTGGGGCTGAGGGAGTACATTCCCCACAGACTTGCACTGGGAGTCTCTGCGTTCTTCCAAACAGCCAGCTGACTTCTTCTCCCTTGTCTTCTTTATCAGGGCCACCCGGTCTCTAATGGACTTAGCAACAGCTTTGGAATCACTTTCATGGAAGAATCCTGACTTGACCTACAAACAAAACATAATAAGCAAACCACATCTTTAAGAGTTTTACTTTTACTTTTTACTAGCAGAGTTATTTTCTGCCCCCAAATTCCAAATGCTATTAAATAACAGTTAATTTGTTTCTATGTTCTTTCTTAATCAGACATGCATAAATGCCAGAGCCTTTAGTAAGAAAAGCAACACTATTACCAAGCATTGTTGAAATAATTCTGGCTTTAAACAAAAACAAACAAATAGCTTGGTATTTCAGTACATGCAGTCTTATTACAGGTAATTTATGACTGCCATTAAGTTTTGTGAAACATTAAAAAGGTTTCCTCATTCAACAACAGTAAGTGTCTACAATGTGCCCAGTATTGGGCTCTGGAGACATATAAGTGCCTAAGCTGGTCCTTTGTCCTATATGCACACACAAGCTGGTGGTGAGAGAAGGATAAAAACAACATAAGGGGCTTCCCTGGTGGCGCAGTGGTTAAGAATCTGCCTGCCAAGGCAGGGGACATGGGTTTGAGCCCTGGTCCGGGAAGATCCCACATGCCGCGGAGCAACTAAGTCCGTGCACCACAACTACTGAGCCTGCACTCTAGAGCCCGTGAGCCACAACTACTGAGCCCACGTGCCACAACACGTGCCACAAGCCTGAGCACCTAGAGCCTGTGCTCTGCAACAAGAGAAGCCACCGCAATGAGAAGCCCATGCACCACAACGAAGAGTAGCCCCCGCTGGCCGCAACTAGAGAAAGCCCGTGCACGGCAACGAAGACCCAACACAGCCAAAAATAAATAAATAAAGTAAATAAAAATTTTAAAAAAACATAAAGTGAAATAAAAGGTAGAAATGAGCTGCTGCAAAAGCCCTAAAGGAGCACAAGCCTCTCTGGTGAAAGCAGAGAAAGTATCACAGAGGAAGGTAAAGTCTGACCTGGATTAAAACAAAACAAGGAACTTGCAGGCTATTGAGGGAGAAGTAGATGAAGTTCAGAGATCAACACTCTAGGCAGAGGAAGTATGCTTATGGCAAAGTGCTATATCTTACTAGGTGTTAGAAGAGTGACAGAAGTTAATGGCTTATTGTCTGAAAGGAACAGGGCTGAGTAACAGAGATAATGACTTGAGGAGGTGCCATGGCATATTATTCTCAGTCCTACAATCTGTTTTTTAAAGCATATCATGGGGGTCTGCAGACTCGGGGAAATTTCATCGTAGTTGAAAAATGATTAAAATGTTAGATGGAATCCATATATTTAATTTCACTCCCTCCCAAAGTTCAAAAAACACTCCCAGAGTAAATGGATTTTTAAGTCATAAACTCACAAGAATAGAAAGAATAAAGGCAACAGCAACAACAGACAATGTTTTGGACATTTGGGGATGTGGAAAACAAACAGATAATAACTGACCTAGTGGACCTGAAAAAGTGAACCAGGGAAAGCTGAAAATCATTCCCATTTATACTGAATAATACTCGTAACACACAGGAACTGGCAGTACCAGGTACTTACAGAACTGGGTAAAGTCAAAAGAGATGACTAAAATAAGGAAGACTAAGTGAAAGGGTTTTGAGAAGTAGTTAGGTATTAGGTCCCTGTGCTCCACTCTCCAGTCCACACCTTTGGGTGATTGCTTCTTCCCTACCCGAGAAGTCTGTAATTTTGTTCTCTGGAGAGGGTAAAAGAGGATCATATCTGGACTAGGGAACACCAGGCACAGTTGAGGGTATGGCTACCATAACAAAAACAAGAAGATTAAATGACCATATGCATGCTGAACGCCATACACAGAAACCCCCAGCACTCTTCCCCACTTGGCTACCAAAATATCAGTAACCAGATCCTTACCCTCCAGGCAGGATATTGAAAGATGCTTCTCTGGAGAATCTGGCCAATCCAAGAAGAAAGACCCACAACTATTTATGTCAAAGATTCCCCAATTATTGTCCCACCTAGATACTTAAGAGTAGAGGTTAACACGTCTGACATAAGCAATCATACCATCCAATCAGCTTGTTAGTCCCTGTCATAGGCAAAATCATGGCCCCTCAAAGATGTCCCATCCTAATCCTCAAACCTGTGAATATGATGAGATAGCACTCCCATTATTGAGCTATACACAATTGGCCTTAAGATAGAAAGATCTGGGTGAGCCTTTTACCAGCTAGTGAAGGATTAAACTTGCCATTCCTGACTTTGAAGATGGAGTGGGGGCATGTGAAAGGACTGAAGAACAGTCTCTAGGAGCTGAGAGTGACCCCCAGCTAACGGCCAGAAAGGAAATGAAGACCTTAGTCTTACAACTGCATGGAACTAAACTCTGTCAACAACCTGGTTGAGCCCAAAAGCAGATTCTCTCCCAGAGCCTCCAGCTAAGAGTCCAGGCCACCAAACCTTGATTTCAGCCTGTGAGACTCTAAGCAGAGAATCCAGTAAAGCCTACCAGGACTTCTGACCCACGGAACTGAAATAATAAAAGGGTGTTGTTTTAGCCCACTAAATCTGTGGTAACTTGCTATACAGCAATAGAAAACTAATAGTCTCCTACTATTGATCATGAGCAGCCAGCCAAGAATAACCAGAAATATGAGAAAAGCCTCTAACAAGAAGATGGAGCACAAAACCAACAAAAAACCCCAGCAACTTGGAGAAAAGATACTATGCAGGGAGAAAAAAAGTGTCAAAAACACTCTCTTCACTAAAATTACAGAGAGGTGCCATAATATTGCATCCACAAAACAAAGAACAAGACGTTTACTCTAAAAAAGGAACAGACCAAAAAAAAAAAAAAAAAGGAAAAGGAACTCTTGAAATTAAAAACAAGATAGTAGAAATGAAAAACTCAATGGAAGAGTTAGAAAATAAAGTTGACAATGTCTTCCAGGAAGGAGAATAAAAAGATAAAAAGATAGAAAATAGAAAAGAACATTGGAGAAACAGTCCAAGAGGCCAAACATCCAAATAACAGCAGTTCTAGAAAGAGAAAACAAAGAGAAAACAAAGGGAAAGAACTCAACAATAAAATACTTTTAAGAAATTTCCCAGAAACTAAAGGATATGAGTCCACTGAGTATCCAACACAGTGGATGAAAACAGACCCCAACCAAGACACACTGTGAAAATTTATAATCCTGAGAAGAAAGAGAAGATATTACAAGCTTCCAGAGAGGAAAAATGGATCACATGCAAAAGATCCAGAAAACAGAACATCTTTGTATTTCTCAATATCAATACTGAAAGCTAGAAAATCATGCAGCAATGACTTTAAATTTTTTTAATTGCCAACCTAAAATGACTTAGCCAGTCAAATATGAAGACAGAATAAAGATGTTTTTAATACATGCAAGTCTCAAAGAATTTACCTCCCATATACCCTTTCTTAAGAAGTTGGCAGAGGAAGTGAGCCACTAAAACAAAAGGTAAGCAAAGAAAGAGAAAGACATGGGATTTAGGACACATGAATTCCAATACAGGAGAGAGGCAGAGAAGTCTAGAATGATAGTAAAAAGAAAGATCAGTATGATAGTTATGTAGCAGATGTCCAAGACAATCATTCTAGATTAGAACCATGTGACTAGAAATATAGGCATGTTAAAGGCTATCATCTCCAAGATACCCACTGTCAATGTCCCATACTCCTTTTATTTATTTATTTTAATTTATTTATTTTTGGCTGCGTTGGGTCTTTGTTGCAGTGCATGGGCTTCTCATTGCAGTGGCTTCTCTTGTTGCAGAGCATAGACTCTAGGCACACGAGCTTCAGTAGTTGTGGCTCGCGGGGTCTAGAGCGCAGGCTCAGTAGTGGTGGCACATGGGCTTAGTTGCCCCGCGGCATGCGGAATCTTCCCGGACCAGGGCTCAAACCCGTGTCCCCTGCATTGGCAGGTGGATTCTTAACCACTGCGCCACCAGGGAAGCCCCCATACTCCTTTTAAACCTGAGGACAGAATGCCCAGGTGAGCCTGGCTCAAAGTATCTGGACTTTGCTAATTTGACCACATGCTGCTGAAGCTCATGCACACCCTCCCTCCAAGTACTGCACAGCCTGGATCGGGCATGCACATACATTCCACCCAACAGAAGTTATCTGCTGTCTTCTACTCTTGCGGGGGGAGCGGGTCATGGGGAGATGAGAAGTAGAGAAGTCAGAGGGGCCCACTCCCCGTCAAAGCATATTGTTACCAGACAACTAATTTTTCTGGTCTGCACAACAGCCCTCTGGTGCCCTAACTGTGGTGAGCCATGTGTGTTTCCCTGGACTCACATGTGACCTCACCCTGATGACCTCCCTAGACTCGGCTCTCATAAACTCTTAGGGAAGCTGAAGCCAGACTATGACCGAGAGACTGTTCAGCTTATCCCCTCCTGGGCATCTTCACCTAACAGTAACTTCAGTAACCAGCTAGGTGTGTGTTTGCCACTCTGGTTTTCAAAACAAAATAATATATATTATTTAGGTAAACTATAATGAAAAGCAAAGGAATGAGTAACACAAAAGTCAGGGTAGATATGACCTGTGGTAATGAGGGAGAGGAACGCAAGTGGGGGAGGGGCACACAGGTAGCTTCTAAAGTTCCAGTAGTGTTCTATTTCTTAACAAAAGTAGAGTTTTACTATTCTTTATACTGTACATACAAATTTAATATACTCTGTTGTAGAGATATATTTCACAATAAAATTACAATTTAAATGAAGAAAATGAGAGGAAAGAAAGCAATCAGAAGGAGAAAGGAATCAACCCTGATACTATAAGGGGAGGGGAAGCCAGTGGTAGGATTCACTTACCATTTCATACGCTACTTCCTCAGGTGTATCTGTTTCTAAATTGAAACTGAATTCAATAGCTTCATTGTCTTTATGCTTGCCTTTCAATTTTTTAGGGTCTTCAACCCAGAGCCTTAAAGCCAGAGATGAATTTGAGCAATCATCTTCCTCCGCTAACTCCACCCTTAGCCCTGTATCTTCAGCAAAAAATGCGTGGTTTAGTAGGTCCCTGACAGACAACCTAATAAACAAAATACAAATCTGTTATCAATTCTTCCAATCATAAACAAGGTATAGAGCACTTAATTAGTAAAAATTGTGTCAAAGTAACAACGTGATTTAAAATTTTCTATTAATTAAACCATTAATCTGCCTTTTTATAAAAACCAAATCTTATATCCAATTTATTATTACCAAGGATGCAAAGAAATCCCAACTAACATGCATTTGTAGTGATCTTAATTAAGGATTATTAACAGTAACATATCTAGATACTGAAGTTTAACATACCTAAAGGTATGCCTAGAGATAATTAGAGAAGTGCTGCAGCAAACGTCAGATGGACTGAGTATCTTCCCTAAGCCACTGGCTTAAGTTACTAAAACTCACACAACAGATTGTTGGCAAAGAAAACTAAAAACTCTTTGAGGTATATAAACTCTAAAGTAAATTAGGAATTCAAACACTTTTACAAATGTTATAAATAGAAGTCATTAACTCTATTAACAATAATCTAGTCAGTGTACTTCACTCTTTAGGGAATGCCATGGGTGAAGCTAATTCAGTTCAGCAAAGTCACACGGTTTTCTTAAAGTATTTAAGTCCAGTATCCTAGGCCAAAGTATACATATAATGGATACAACTCTAGTCTAATATTAGGGATTAACCATCTCTGAAGAGAAACAAGCACAGAGGTTCAAAAGATTCTTTTATAAGCTGGGAGAGTTAATTTCCTTTTCTTTGACCAACTTCTAAAATAGATAAATAATATCTATCTATATTACAGGCCAGTGAGAGCTATAACTGATGTATTTCATAGTTTGTATGCAGAAAGCCCCTCCTGCACTATTTAAAACAGACAAAGCATATTGACAGCACGGTATCCTGTAAGTTGAGGATTTTCAACCTTCTACATTTTTAGTGATCAAGAGACAAACACTTAACTAAGACAGTTTTATAAAAAACAAGCTTGCTCAGACTAATTAGTCTTAAGGCTAAGGTGAGATGTGTTTAAGAAGGTACAACCAAGTTAAGCACTCTGCTTCTAAATGAAAGTTTTGCCTAGATATTTTTACTAAGGAATAACCACTGCAATAGCAGCAGACAGTATCATTCATTAAATACTTATTACTCTGTTAGGTATTTTATATGCATTCATTAACTTTTTTTTTTTTTTTTTTTTTTTTTGCGGTACGCGGGCCTCTCACTGTTGTGGCCTCTCCCGTTGTGGAGCACAGGCTCCGGACGCGCAGGCTCAGTGGCCATGGCTCACGGGCCCAGCCGCTCCGCGGCATGTGGGATCTTCCCGGACCGGGGCACAAACCCGTGTCCCCTGCATCGGCAGGTGGACTCCCAACCACTGCACCACCAGGGAAGCCCAATTATCTTTTTAACTATCAAAATAATACCTATTTTGAGGAACAGCTAAAGTAAGTTTCTCAAGATCACACTGGCTAAGTGTGAGTCCAGATTTGAATCTTATTCTGCTGTGGAAGCCTGTGCTCTTTCCAAAACACTAATGTGCCATAAATCCTTTTGAATATTCCAGTGTTCTTTGGTAATAGATCATAATTAAAATGCTGTACAAACAACAATCAGAAACCAAACTAAAATGGCTACTTCAACACAGTAGTTTTAGCATAGCTTTAAAAAAAGCATGCCTAAATTACTACAACTCAAAAACAACAACAACAAAATAAACAACTCAATTTTTTAAAAAGGCAAAGGACTTGAATAGACATTTCTCCAAAGAAGATATACAAATGGCCAATAAGCACATGGAAAGATACTCAACGTTATTAGTCCTTAGGGAAATGCAAATCAAAACCACAATAAGATACCACTTTATACCCATTAGGATGTCTATTAACAAAAAATGGAAAATAAGTGTTAGGGAGGACACTGAGAAATTGGAACCATCACACATTGCTGGAAGGAATGCAAAATGATGCAGCCTCTATGGAAAAAATATAGTGGTTCTTCAAAAAATTAAATATATTATTACCGTATGATTCAGTAATTCTACTCCTAGGTATATACCAAAAAGAATTAAAAGCAGACTCAAGAAGATACTTGTTCACCAATGTTCATGCCGCATTATTCACAATAGCCAAGAGGCAGAAATAACCAAAGTGTCCATTAACAGATGAATGGATAAACAAAATGTGGTGTGTGTGTGTGTATACACACAAACGCACACAAAGGAATAGTATTCAACCGTAAAAACAAAGGAAATTCTGATACATGCTATAACATGGATCAACGTTTAAACACTATGCTATGTGAAATAAGCCAGATGCAAAAGGAAAAATATTTTATGATTCTACTTATATGAGGTACCTATATAGAAGTAGAGACAAAGTAGAATAGAGATTGGCAGGGGTTGAGGGGAAAGGGAGTGGGGAGTTACTGTTTAATGGGCACAGAGTTTCTGTTTGGGATGATGAGAAAGTTCTGGAAATAGTGGTGATGGTTGTACAACAATGTGAATGTGCATAATGTCACTGAATTGTACATTTTAAAATGATTAAAACGGTGACTCTTAGGTTATTTATATTTTACCATAATTAAAATATAGAGATATATAGATATAGCCTGTTGGCACAAACACCAAGAATGTTGTGTAATAAAGCTATAATTAAACAGGTTTTATCTTAGTGACTTTTTATATTTTCAGATATGCAACACTAAACTTAGATAGATAACTAATAAAAATGGGAGACAGTCAGTGAAATGCTGGTGGAAATAATTTCTATAAAGGATCTATCACCTTATTAATCATAATCAATAAGGAGGTAAAAATCAAAATACTAACCGAGCAATTTGAGTCAGTAACTGTCCAAAGCTCAAATTAAAGGGAAAAGCTAAAACTAAAAGGAATTGTCCATAAGAAAAATAGAAATTGTACAAATAAATCTAGAATACTATTTCTTGAACAAAAATAGCCCTATCAGCATTACTATTATCATGACACAGGACATTATGGACAAATAAAAAACATCTGGTGAATTGATGGTTAAATTTTTTCTTAAACTATCATAAAAAACCATTTAAGTACTTATGTGAAGGTGACAATGCAGGAAACTCTCTACTATCTACCAACTGTTAGAAGCAAGTTAACCTGGGAGGGGGCCCACTGACTGTTAAACTGATGGCTGAAGGTGATCTTGTCACAACACACACAGACAAACACAACCCAAATTTCGGTTCAAGGAAAATTCAGCACATGGTATCAGTTTAAAATGGCAAACAAGATGCACTGATACACTTCACTCTAGTCAGTATGGTTTGGATTCCACTGAAAAGTCATACCCAGCATGATTCAAAGATCAGAAAAAGACCCAGCTCAAGATAAGAGAAAAATTCATCCATCAGTCATGTCATTTCACTGCATATGCACCCACCTTTCAGATTTATTTTGACGAATACATCCCTCGATGATTTCTTTCACTTCAGGATCAGTGACTTTATTGAAACTGGCTGGTTTTATACCCTGGAAGAAGAAAAACGGTTTCTAGTCACAAATCAAGCAACTGAAAGCCGAAGCCAACATCATTACTAAAATAATGATTTTTTACCACTAAACCATATTCAAATTTTAAATGAGATATATACACACAGTATAAGTTTAACAACTTTTTGACAAGGATTTTGTCATAGCTCTACAAATAACAGTGAAAAATTGTAAATGATCTAAATCTCTAATAACAGAGGTAATATTACATAAATTATGTGATATACATATATATGCATATGCTAATACATGGAAACTAAACATGTTCTCATAGTAATTAATAATGTGGAGAATTCTCATGCTGCAACATTAAGTAGGAAAAAAACAGGATCCCAAAATGTACATACAGTATAACCCCAATTAGTAAAATATAATAAACAAGTATTTTTTTGAAATCAGAAAAGTCAGTTATTAAAAAACACTTTTAGAAATTCCAAATAAGGGCTTCTCTATCGCAAACATTTCAAATCAATATTTCAAAGTCTTCTAGAATGGCTAGACACAATGAGCAATCAGTAAATATATATATAAAATATATATATTGTTATATATATATATAAACTTTTGAGAAATCTATATTATGTTTATCCTTAAACAATACCAAAATATTGGGAGAACCTCAAGCTAATTATCAGGTTCTAGGAATTCAATATCAAATTAATGAGGTCCAGATAATTCAAAACGTTCTTATAATAACTGTTAGCTGCCTAAATGTACTTATTTTACATTCTGTTACCCTTAATTTATGGGTTTTAGATTTAAAAAATCATACAAGAACATTGCCATCATTTAACAGAAAATTCAAAATTAAGCTATAAGCAGAAAGGTATAATAGAAAAATTATCATGGAATGAGGCAATCTAAGATCTAGTTCTGGGTCTTCACACTACCTCACAGAATACAGAATCAGAAAGCCAAGTACCATATCCTAGATAAATCTGGTGAGATTAGGAGTTAATTTGGGCCTCAAATTCAAGAAGCTTTAGTAGAGATGGAAATCTGAATTGTGATATGGCATTTCTGTGACCTGAATATAAAAGAATAAAATCACCATACAAAAAATGGAATTTTTTATTCTACTTATAGAAAAAGCCCTCTTTGACCTTTCCACTGATCTCTTACCCATTCCCCAGCCCTGGATAATTACTGCCTTTCTCTGCTCCTAGGTGAAAATAATTGGGGAGCTGCAACTTAAAAAATCAAGTACAGACTCTTCTATTTGTGGTCGTACAATATATGGGCCCAAACTAAAAGGGCATTCTAGTCCCATTTCTTTTTCTCAGCTGTTTATTATAGAAATATTCAAACATACTCAAAAGTAGAAGTCCCATGTAATCATCACCAGTTTCAACAACAAGCATCATTCCTTAACCTCGTTTCAGCTATCTACTCCCACACCACTTTTATCCTGGAATATTTTAAAGCAAATACTAGGCACCATGTCATTTCACCCATAAAGTCTCCAGTTTCTATCTCTAACAGATATCATGTCATCATCCCACCTAAAATAATTATCAATAATTGCTTAATATCATCTAAAACCCAATCTATACTCAAATTTTCCAAATTGTCTAAATGAGGTGTTCTTACAAGTTGGTCTGTTCAAATCAGGAGCCAAACAAGGTCCATACATTACATGTATGGTGCAATGGAACCGGCTCATACCAGCTCACAAGGGCCAACTATTACATTTTCAGGAATTGTGCAAGCTGATTATTAAATACATCCATTTATAAAATTTAAATTATATAAACTTACGATTAAATAAATTATATTAAGAGCCAAGGTAATAAATACTGAAAACACAATTCCTTGATTGTTTTACTACATTTTACTATTATTTATGCTCTTGCAGTTGCTTACATCTTTTGTATCCGTATGGTGGAAATACTATATGAGTGCCACTCTGCACCCTTTCTCAACCCTGCATTCAAGTGAGGTCACATTGGTGACTTGAAATCAGTCATGGTGGGAGCACTTACACCAAGGAAATTAGCAAATGCTAGAAATCAGCGCTTTTTCTTTTTCAGAGAATCAGTTGTTAAACATTTACCAGCTCATCACTACTTTAAGTCTCTTGTATTCTGTAACAGTCCCTTCCCCTTTTTTCTTTCAGGAAATTGATTTGTTGGAGAAACTAGGTCATTTGTCATATAGAATTCTGGATTTCTTATTGTCTCCCTAAACAAACCTCTGAAGTCAGACTTGAGGTCAAAATCCACCATTACTAGTAGCTGTGTGAACTTGGGCAGGTCACAACCTCTGATTCTCAGTCTCATCATTTCTAAACTGAAGACAGTGCCATCTTGTAGGAATACAAAGATAAAAGCATGTGGCATATATTATGTATTTAAAAATGGTACCTATTAGTATGTTACCTGAAACACTCTAACAATCTCTTTTGTGGCCTACCTTGAGCCACCCAACTGGATATGAAAGGACCTATTTTCAACAATCTTAACACTTTGCTTCTACCTCCCTTACTATACTCCTATTCTCTTATTTTTATAGTTATTTGTGAGTTTATATTACTGCTCTACTAAAAATGTAAGCTCTTTGTAGGTAGCAAACACTTCTTACTCATCTTTGCATTCCTTGTAATTTCTAATGCAAAAAATTACTCATAGCAGGGAACCAAATACTGTATCCATTGAATGCCACTTCATAATCAGGCTTCTAGAACCAGAAGAAATCTTCAAAACCATTTAGCCAATCTTTATTATGTAGCTTTGGAAAATAAGATCCATCTAATAAATACCTAAAAATTCTTTACAAACAAATGGATATAGATGATATATCTGTACATTTTCCCCAAAGATACTAATACAGAGCATTTTATATGACCCCATTTGAGTATAGGTATATAGCATAAATCTAAAGCTTGTTTCATTAAAATTATGTTAAATTTAGCACTGTTATACAGAACTAAACCAAAATTAGGTTTTTTGTTTGTTTGTTTTAATTTGGTTTTTCTGTTTTTATTTTTGGTTGTGCTGGGTCTTCGTTGCTGTGCGTGGGCTTTCTCTAGTTGCAGTGAGCAGGGGCTACTCTTCATTGCGGTGCACAGGCTTCTCATTGCAGTGGCTTCTCTTGTTGCGGAGCATAGGCTCTAGGCACACGGGCTTCAGTAGTTGTGGCAGGAAGGCTCTAGAGCGCAGGCTCAGTAGTTGTGGTGCACGAGCTTAGTTGCTCCGTGGCATGTGAGATCTTCCCGGGCCAGGGATTGAACCCGTGTCCCCTGCATTGGCAGGCAGATTCTTAACCACTGAGTCACCAGGGAAGCCCCCAAATTAGGTTTTTTAAAATTAATTTTTATTGGAATACAGTTGCTTTACACCAAAATTATGTTTGACTAAGTCAACTTCTAAGTTTACTTTACCATGAAATGCGGCAATTTGTGAAGTAAAAAGAATAAAGTTATACCTACACTAGTTACTTTACGGTATATTTGAGCTGCATTCTGGCACTCAGAATAAGGGTACTCCGAAGTAGCCATTTCTAGCATACACATTCCAAAAGCATAGACGTCCACAGATTCATCGTAGTGCTCTTCATACATCTCTGGGGCCATAAACTCAGGAGTGCCTACAAAATACCACAACCACATTTTTTTTAAAAGAAAGAAAAATGTAGAGAATTCCCTGGCGGTCCAGTGGTTAGGACTCTGCGTTCTCACTGTCAAGGGCCAGGGTTCAGTCCCTGGTCATGGAACTAAGATCCCACAAGCCACGCAGTGTGACCAAAAAAAAAAAAAAATGTATCCACCAAGATCACATTCCCTTTGCCATAAGGATTATCTGAGTTAAGTTCTGTTCCCTAAAAGCATATATATATATATATATATATATATATATATATATATACCTATAATATACATATATATACACATATAATTCCTTAACTTAATTTCTTTAACTTTCCATATTGATGAAGTACAATTTTCAATGTTCAAAATTAGGTAATGATTACCAAAATCTGTTTTTATTTCTATCCTTGTTTTTAGTTATTTAAATTTTTCTGAAGTAGTAAATCCTATTTCTTAAGTCCTCAGAACCTTTCAATAATATTAAATACATCACAAAAGAAATACACTGGGATGTCTCTAAAATCAGTCAATATATAATAGATATTTCAAAGCAAATTCACATTCTAGACCAGGGGCCAGCAAATTTCTCTGTAAAGGGCCAAAAATAAATATTTCAGGCTTTGTAGTCCACATGGGCTCTATCACAACTAATTAACTCTGACACTGTAGTGAAAAAGCAACCATAGACGAGTAAATAAGTGGGTGTGGCTGTGTTCCAACAAAACTTTATTTACAAAAATAGGCAGTGAAGCCAAATTTGGCCCATAGGCTGTGGTTTGCTGATCCCCGTTCTAGACATATACAATTTAAAAGATCGGTCTTTACGCAACCAACAAACTATAAAATGTTAATCACCAATGACACTTTTAGCAAATGATGTGCGCATTAAGGTGGCTAGTCCTAGATCACCAATCTTCACAGATCCAGTGGGTCCCGTGATGAAAATATTGTCACACTTCAGATCCCGGTGAATAATAGGAGGAGTCCTAGTGTGTAAGAACTGCAACCCCTTTAAAATTTGCCTGCACCAGCTCCTTAAGACCTTTGGTTTCATGACTTTAAATCGTTTTAAGTACCTACACAAAGAAACAAAAACCACATGTAAACAAACATACCTAGCTTACTGTATGAGCACATTAGGGTAAATCACGTAAGCTAGCTGATACTATATATATTATGATTGCCACCACTGAGTTATCTTCTATTGTCTGTTGTGACAAAAAATTATTAAATCTAAAGCCTCATTCTTAGAGAAGACATCCTACTAAGTTTAGCATTTTTAATTCAAAACAAGAATCATTCCAATCAGAGTGACCTTTTATGGAATGGCATCAAAATTTTAAAAACAAAGTTCTCTCTACTTCCTAATAACTGCTTAAATAGAGTCATCAGAGGGTTTAACTATGTAAAATTTTAGTGCAAAGATGCTAGGAAACAGAAAAAGTACATCGCACATTTAACAATCACAAATAAGTGGTTATACCATCAAATGAAATACTGTATTCAGAAACAAAACAATAGACTATAATTACATAGTACTGCTCACTAGATATGTGAATCTGGCCACGTCCCCAGCCTTTCATCATCTTCTACAAAATGGCATTATATTATCTCTATAATGATTTCTAATTCTAAAATTCTATGATATCCCACAAATATTAATTTCTCAACATTGTATTTTCTAACAAACTTCATTAACATCCAAATTTTTTAACCTGCCCTGAAACATAGTCACTAGATTCAGATTCTACAAATTCTTTAATCAAGTACTGTTACTTTACAAACAACTTTTGCGAATCCTGAAAATTATTTCCAAATAAAACTCCATTGGCACTTTCAGGGTCAACTTACGTCTTTAAGGTTCCTGATGTCATAAGTTCAGTCACTAATACAATACATTTCTTTCCTTTTAGTATAGACTCCCAGGAATCATAGAATCGAACTATATTGGGATGCTGGAGACCCTTTAACATCTCTGCTTCTTCCTTGAACCTTTGCTGCTCAGCTTTAGTTAATTTCCGGTCCTAAAATGGAAGATCAAGTTCCAAATTAAAGGCTAGAAATTCTCTTGCACATTTCTAACACCACTCAAATGAGTGCTTTATTTATTTATTTTTATTTATTTTTTTTGCGGTACCCAGGCCCCTCACTGTTGTGGCCTCTCCCGCTGCGGAGCACAGGCTCCGGATGCGCAGGCCCAGCGGCCATGGCGCACGGGCCCAGCCGCTCCGCAGCATGTGGGATCTTCCTGAACCGGGGCATGAACCCGTGTCCCCTATATCGGCAGGCAGACTCTCAACCACTGAGCCACCAGGGAAGCCCTGAGTGCTTTATTTTATTGTATGTATGTATCTATTTTCACCTGTCAATTCTTTTCTCAGTACCTATATAATCATTGATATTCTTTGTTAGGTAGTTACTTTGACTCCTCTCATACAGCAAAATGCAGCAGTTGTTACATTTCATAACTATGTTACAAACCTACCTGCATAATAAATCAATGCCTTGAAAAACAATATCTTTGATGTTAACTAAACTTTTGTGATAATCATTTCACTATATATATCTCTCAAATCATTATGTTGCATACCTTAAACTTCTACATTGTTATATGTCAATTACATCTCAATAAAACTGGAAAAATAAATAATAAATAGTAAGTAAAATTTCCTTTGCTGGAAAAGAAAAAACAGTATCTCAAAGTGAGAAAAAGTAAAAAATCAAAACAATAAGAAAGTTTCCCGAGGTGGAGGGGAAGATGGCAGAAGAGTAAGACGCGGAGATCACCTTCCTCCCCACAGATACACCAGAAACACATCTACACGTGGAACAACTCCTACAGAACACCTACTGAACGCTGGCAGAAGACCTCAGACCTCCCAAAAGGCAAGAAGCTCCCCACGTACCTGGGTAGGGCAAAAGAAAAAACAAAGACAAAAGAATAGGGATGGGAACTGCACCAGTGGGAGGGAGCTGAAGGAGGAAAGGTTTCCACACACAAGGAAGCCCCTTCGTGGGCGGAGACTGCAGGTGGCGGTGGTGGGGAGGTGCGGAGACGCAGAGGAGAGCGCAGCAACAGGGGTGCGGAGAGCAAAGCGGAGAGATTCCCGCACAGAGGATCGGTGCCGACCGGCACTCACCTGCCAAGAGGCTTGTCTGCTCACCCGCCGGGGCGGGCGGGGCTGAGAGCTGAGGCTCGGCTTCGGTCAGAGCGCAGCGAGAGGACTTGGGCTGGCGGCATGAACACAGCCTGAAGGGGGCTAGTGCACCACGGCTAGCCGGGACGGAGTCCGGGAAAAGGTCTGGAGCTGCCGAAGAGGCAAGAGACTTTTTCTTCCCTCTTTGCTTCCTGGTGCGCGAGGAGAGCGGATTAAGAGCGCTGCTTAAAGAAGCTCCAGAGATGGGAGCGAGCCGCGGCTAAAGGCGCGGACCCCAGAGATGGGCAGGAGACGCTAAGCCTGCTGCCGCCGCCGCCAAGAAGCCTGTGTTCGAGCACAGGTCACTATCCACACCTCCCTTCCGGGGAGCCTGTGCAGCCCGCCACTGCTGGGTTCCCGGGATCCAGGGACAACTTCCCCGGGAGAACGCACGGTGCGCCTCAGACTGGTGCAACGTTACGCCGGCCTCTGCCGCCGCAGGCCCACCCCGCACTCCGGGTCCCTCCCTCCCCCGGGCCTGAGTGAGCCAGAGCCCCCGAATCAGCGGCTCCTTTAACCCCGTCCTGTCTGAACGAAAAATAGACGCCCTCCGGCGACCTACACGCAGAGGCGGGGCCAAATCCAAAGCTGAACCCCTGGGAGCTGTGAGAACAAAGAAGAGAAAGGGAAATCTCTCCCAGTAGCCTCAGGAGCAGCGGATTAAAGCTCGACCATCAACTTGATGTACCCTGCATCTGTGGAATACCTGAATAGACAACGAATCATCCCAAATTGAGGAGGTGTACTTTGAGAGCAAGATGTGAGATTTTGTCTGTATAGCTTTGCTTCCACCATTGGTCCTAGGGTTCCATCCGTCTGTTTTTTGTTTTTGGTTTTTCTTTAATTTTTTTTCTTTCTTAATAATTAATTTTAATAACTCTATATTATTTTACTTTATCTTCTTTCTTTCTTTACTTCCTTCCCTCCTTTAGACAACGAATCATCCCAAATTGAGGAGGTGGACTTTGAGAGCAAGATTTATGATTTTTTTCCCCATTTCCTCTTTTTGTGAGTGTGTACATGTATGCTTCTGTATGAGATTTTGTCTGTATAGATTTGCTTCCACAATTTGTCCTAAGGTTCCATCCATCCATTTTTTAAAATTTTTTTTCTTAATAATTATTTTTTAATTTAATAACTTTATTATATTTTACTCTATTTTATTTTAATTTATTTCATTCATTCTGTCTTTTTTCCTTCCTTCCCTCCTTTCTTCCTTCCTTCCTTCCTCCCACCATCCGTCCCTCCCTCCTTCCATTCTTTCTTTCCTCCTTTCCTTCTTTCCTCCTTTCCTTCTTTTCTTCTTTCTTCCTTCCTACCTTTCTTTCTTTCTTTCTTCCTACTTCTACTAATTCTTTCTCTCTACTTTTTCTCCCTTTTATTCTGAGCCGTGGGGATGAAAGGCTCTTGGTGCTGCAGCCAGGAGTTAGTGCTGTGCCTCTGAGGTGGGAGAGCCAACTTCGGGACACTGGTCAACAAGAGACCACAGCTCCACATATCAAAAGGCGAAAATCTCCCAGAGATCTCCTGCTCAACACCAGAACCCAGCTTCACTCAACGACCAGCAAGCTACAGTGCTGGACACCCTACGCCAAACAACTAGCAAAAGAGAAACACAACCCCATCCATTAGCAGAGAGGCTGCCTAAAATCATAATAAGTCCACAGACACCCCAAAACACACCACCAGACGTGGACCTGCCCACCAGAGAGACAAGATCCAGCCTCACCCACCAGAACACAGGCACTACTCCCCTCCACCAGGAAGCCTACACAACCCACTGACCAACCTTAGCCACTGGGGACAGACATCAAAAACAACGGGAACTACAAACGTGCAGCCTGCAAAAAGGAGACCCCAAACACAGTAAGATAAGCAAAATGAGAAGATAGAAAAACACACAGCAGATGAAGGAGCAAGATAAAAAACGCACCAGACCTAACAAATGAAGAAGACATAGGCAGTCTACCTGAAAAAGAATTCAGAATAATGGCAGTAAAGATGATCCAAAATCGTGGAAATAGAATACACAAAATGCAAGAAACATTTCACAAGGACCTAGAAGAACTAAAGATGAAACAAACAATGATGAACAACACAATAAATGAAATGAAAAATACTCTAGATGGCATCAATAGCAGAATAACTGAGACAGAAGAACGGATAAGTGACCTGGAAGATAAAATAGTGGAAATAACTACTGCAGAACAGAATAAAGAAAAAAGAATGAAAAGAACTGAGGACAGTCTCAGAGACTTCTGGGACAACATTAAACACACCAACATTCGAATTATAGGGGTTCCAGAAGAAGAAGAGAAAAAGAAAGGGACTGAGAAAATATCTGAAGAGATTATAGTTGAAAACTTCCCTAATATGGGAAAGGAAATAGTTAATCAAGTGCACGAAGCACAGAAAGTCCCATACAGGATAAATCCAAGGAGAAATATGCGAAGACACATATTAATCAAACTGTCAAAAATTAAATACAAAGAAAGCATATTAAAAGCAGCAAGGGAAAAACAACGAATAACACACAAGGGAATCCCCATAAGGTTAACAGCTGATCTCTCAGCAGAAACTCTGCAAGCCAGAAGGGAGTGGCAGGACATACTGAAAGTGATGAAAGAGAAAAACCTGCAACCAAGATTACAATACCCAGCAAGGATCTCATTCAGATTTGATGGAGAAATTAAAAACTTTACGGACAAGCAAAAGCTGAGAGAGTTCAGCACCACCAAACCAGCTTTACAACAAATGCTAAGGGAACTTCTCTAGGCAAGAAACACAAAAGAAGGAAAAGACCTACAATAACGAACTCAAAACAATTTAGAAAATGGGAATAGGAACATAAATATTGATAATTACCTTAAATGTAAATGGGCTAAATGCTCCCACCAAAAGACACAGATTGGCTGAATGGATACAAAAACAAGACCCAAATATGTGCTGTCTACAAGAGATACACTTCAGATCTAGAGACACATACAGACTGAAAGTAAGGGGATGGAAAAAGATATTCCATGCAAATGGAAACCAAAAGAAAGCTGGAGTGGCAATTCTCATATCAGACAAAATAGACTTTAGAATAAGGACTATTAGAAGAGACAAAGAAGGACACTACATAATGATCAAGGGATCCATCCAAGAAGAAGATATAACAATTGTAAATATTTATGCACCCAACATAGGAGCACCTCAATACATAAGGCAAATACTAACAGCCATAAAAGGGGAAATCGAAAATAACACATTCATAATAGGGGACTTTAACACCCCACTTTAACCAATGGACAGATCATCCAAAATGAAAATAAATAAGGAAACACAAGCTTTAAATGATACATTAAACAAGATGGACTTAATTCATATTTGTAGGACACTCCATCCAAAAACAACAGAATACACATTTTTCTCAGGTGCTCATGGAACATTCTCCAGGATAGATCATATCCTGGATCACAAGTCAAGCCTTGGCAAATTTAAGAAAATTGGAATTGTATCAAGTCCCTTTTCCGACCACAATGCCATAAGACTAGATATCAATTACAGGAAAAGATCTGTAAAAAATACAAACACATGGAGGCTAAACAATACACTACTTAATAACGAAGTGATCACTAAAGAAATCGAAGAGGAAATAAAAAAATACCTAGAAACAAATGACATGGAGACACGACGACTCAAAACCTATGGGATGCAGCAAAAGCAGTTCTAAGAGGGAAGTTTATAGCAATACAAGCCCACCTTAAGAAACAGGAAACATCTTGAATAAACAACCTAACCTTGCACCTAAAGCAATTAGAGAAAGAAGAACAAAAAAAAACCCA